AAGTAACAAGTTAACTACTTAGAAACTAAATAGTTAAGTTGACTCGTAGCGATGTTGACACGTGGTACAGACTAGTAAAGTAGATATTTACGTTTATTAGTACTTACATAGTTAATAGGAAAATACTTTCATACTTCCACAGTTGTCCGCCTCGATGGTCTAACGGTTTAGCACACCTCCTTATCCTCGGCGTCGCGAGTTTGAATCCTCGCACCACACAAACATTTGTATTCACGAGTATGACTGTTTGCATCGGTCTGGGTGTTTTGTATAGGTTGTATCTGGGTAATCAGAAGTGTATTTTTTTCTGAATTTGTATTTGAATTTATAGTTTTTAATTTTTCTTTCTTGTTTTATACTTCACTAGCTACTCGCCGTGGCTTCGCACAGGTGTCCATGTAGTATATATATCTATGTATAATGTCGTCAGGTTTTTGGCCGGTATGAATCCGGAAGTCCCCATTTAACGTGATAATTCATTGCATTACATAGTTATATATTATTTTCTGTTTAGTTTACTTTTCATTATATATCCTTATCTAGCTATCTAGCGTATATTGAATGTGTCTATATTTATATTATATATAATTTAGCTTTTAGGTATACATTTTTTTTTCTCTCGTTTCTCTTTACCTTATATATTTTTTTACTCTCTGTGGTTTAACTGTCAGATTGTTTGTTATGTATGTGTATATACATTATATTTATGTATTATTGTAAATGTAATAGTATAAATATTATTATGCCTTGATTTTTTTTGTTATGATTATTTTTGCACCGTCAACAATTTTTCTCTGTACTGCCTATGGTTACTGGTAGAAAATACCGCATGGTGTTAAGTCCGCTAAATGTACTGTTACTTTTGTACTGTGTGCATTAAAGTTATATAAATAAATCAAAATAAATTCACAGTGTTGTATTACAATCCAGTTTTGTACCGAACTACACGCTCCTATTTATATTATTATATTGATTGTAATCTGTTTTGTATGCAAATAAATAAATAAATAAATTTGGCCCCTAACCCGGTGGGACTACGAAGATTTTCCTGACTTTAAAAAAAAAGAGCTAGAGAGAGCTGTATGAATTTTCAAAAGATATTACTATTATTTTTATTATAGTTTTGTTGGATTACGAATCCTTATAAATTAATATATAAAAGAGAGTGTGGACTGTATTTATTGAAAAGAAAATAATTAATGGAAAAGGAAGTAAAAATACGATTTCGACCTGGAAGAACGTCTTCCACACTCCGAACACCCAAAGTAAGCAATGTAACACCAAACTTACTCACCTTTGCTCAGGAACGTCCCGATGTGTAGTACTGTTTAGTGGCCACGCACTCTACAGTGTATATTTTCATAAAAACAATTATATTGTGTTAAATAAATCATTAATTATCTTGTTTTATATAGATAAAAATACGGAGCGTCCTTTTAATTCCAGTTCTTATTTTCACTTGTTTTATTATTCCTTTTTTCGAAATTTAAGTGGCCACATGTTTTTATATGTGGCCAGTATTACCGAGCACCCTTTGCTCCAGTAAGCAAGCCGGTGATACAACCGATTAGACTAAGGAGGTTCGGAATACAGAACAAGTTTGTTACAAGCTGTATCGTTTATTAAATTATTTTTAGAAGGAATCTTACAAACCAATATATAAATTAGTACCAACATACTCTAACGTAATAAACACATTTTTAGCAACATACCACATAGTTCCTTGAAAACTTGTGGTAAATTCCTGATCGAAACTCATCCTCGTTCTATTATTATGCGACGCGATAGTCTGTTTAATTTTTTTATATATATATTCTTCATCAGTGTGTAGTTTGATGCAGTCCTGACTCCAAAACTAGCGTGAGCTGTATATCAGGAGTCAGTTCGTTTCCTCAAACAAGGATTACAGTTTTAATTTACATGTACAGTTAAACTTTATTAATATTTTATTCAATTTAGTGTGTGTGTTTGTCCTTTTGATTAAATATGAAATCTTAATGAATATTTATACGAAGATACATGATATCATGAGAAAGGACATGGACTATGTTTTATCTCAAAAAAGACGGTAAGCAATGTGGATATCTAAATATATATAACTCAAAGGTGACTGAAATGAGCGGCATCCAAGAAGTACAATAACAAAGGAAGGCAGGCAATAACAGGTGGACGGTCACTCTAGTTTACATCGCGAACGCGAATAGGTTAATATAAATATATATAACTCAACGGTGACTAACGTAGTGATCTATCAACGCACAGCCCAAACCACTGGACGGATCGGGCTGAAATTTGGCATGCAGGTAGATGTTATGACGTAGACATCCGCTAAGAAAGGATTTTGATTAATTCTACCCCCAAGGGGATAAAATAGAGGATGAAAGTTTGTATGAAACTTTGTCAATATTAAACCGATCGGGCTGAGCTTTGCATGCATAAAGCTACTATGACGTCGGCATCCCCTAAGTAAGGATTTTGCTAAATTCCAGCCCTAAGGGGATAAATTAACGCGAGCGAAGCCGCGGGCAAAAGTTAGTTGTTATAATAAAATTTAAATTTAGACATAATGTTCTACAATTCTTCCTTTGTAATTTCGATCCCTGTTTGAATTAGAAAAATTCAATAGGTCTTTTATGGGAATGGGTATAAAATTTTACAATAAGATACCAAAGGATATATTGGAATTACCCTTAAATAAATTCAAAACATCTGTTAAATCATATTTACTGAGCAAGGCCTATTACTCACTAAACGATTACTTGAATGACGGGCGTGCATGGCAATAGTTTTCATGTTCGGGATTTTCATTTAATGTTACACATAGACACCTATATAAATACCTATGCATTATAAATAAACTGGATTTAAAAAAAAAGTAATTCAATTGAGTTTCTTGCCAGTTCTTCTCAATTGGATCTATATACCGAACTGGACGGTAGGGAAAAAAATATAATGTAAAAACTTGACGTTCATAAGCGGCTAAAATGTCCTACGTGAATAAATGATTTTTGAATTTGAAATTGGTCTTGAGATTGAGGGGGTCATAAATAATAAAAGAAAACGAAGTGAATGAAAACAAACTAGTTATAATTATTCCCAAATACCTACACTACCTTTAACAGTGGCAGATAACGTAATTGCCGGCAGCGTTAGCGATAAGTAGTTACTAAACTTAGGGTTACTTATCTCGAAAGTTCCAAAGTTATTGCTTGTTTGTGTAACGATATCTCATAAACTAAGGTACGTGGCGATCTAACAACTAATATTAGGGGATTCTAAAATAAACAAAAGTTTGGTGTTAGTATTGAACAGGTATGTATGTATTGTAAAAAAAATATTCCGTAGCCATTTATGACGACCTCGGTGGTCTAGCGGTCTAGTACACCGCTTTACGTCCGATGGTAGCGGGTTCGATTCCTCGCACGGCACAAACATTTGTATTCATAAGTATGTTTGTATCGGTCTGGGTGTTTTCTATATGTAATATGTATGTATTTACGAAAAAAAATATCTATGTATTTGTATCAGTTATCTAGTACCCATAACACAAGCTTTAGCTAGCTTAACTTGGGACTAGATGGCGCTGTGTGAATTGTCCTGAGATTATTATTATTATTTTTAAATAACTAGTTACTCGTCCCGGCTTAGCACGGGTGTAAATTTATTATACATACCTTCCTCATGAATCACTCTAATGCTGTAAACTGCATTAAAATCCGTTACGTAGTTTAAAAAATTTTACGAACAGACGGCGGAAGCAATTTCATTTTATATTATTTAAAGATTTTATAAAATATAAAATAATCTTAATAATATTACAAACGTGAAAGTTTGTGAGTATAGATGGATGTTTGTTACTCTTTCACGCAAAAACTACTAAACGAATGTTGCAACTTTACAGTAACCATAGCTTATACATCAGAATAACACACAGCTACAAATTTCATGCAAGTGAAACCGCAGGCACATATCAATTCAAATCTTATTATATTCCCCATATATGTACTAGCTGTACATATATGGGGGGAAGATTTGACAAAGAATACCCCCATACATAGTCTTATGGAATGATCTTTATCCAAGAAGAGACCACTGACCATATAATCTAGAATTTTTTTTTTATACCACTTAGGTGGCAAACAATCATACGGCCCCTCTGATGGTAAACGGTTACCGTAGCCTATAGACGCCTGAAACACCAGGGGTGTCACATACGCGTTGCCGACCCTTAAGAAACCTTAATATACCCATCTTGAAAAACCCCATGCTGTAGTCTCTCGAGGAAACCTCGGCAGGTAGTTCATTCCACAATCTAAGTGTACGCGGGAGGAAGCTCCTCTGAAACCGCACTGTCCGAATAGAATATTTTTACCCAATTAGTACCAAAATATCTGCTCGTATTCGTTTTGAAATTTATATTATATTAAATATTGAAAATCGTAAAAGCTGTAAACCATATTTCCAAAAACATAATATTCTTACTTTGACTTGCATTTATATTCTAGAAACCAGTAAAATCGTCCAAAAATACCCTAATTTCTATAAAACACGCGAAGAAAGGTGTGAAAAATATAATTTACGATACAGAAACAGGCTCCTTCTTCCATCCTCCACGTTAGCACTACATTCAAGTGGTCCTCTGGTGTCATCCATAAATATATATAACCACTTACCACATTCTTTAAAAGAGATAAAAAATGATAAAATATTTATAAGAAATCTCAAGACATTGTTGATTAAAAAATGTTATTATACAATTTTAGTAATTAAATATATACAATTTCAAATTATTAATTATTACTATTTTTATTATTATTATTAATATATAATACATAAAAGATAAAAGAAAATAACTCGTCCTCCTCTCTTCTCTTCCGCTTGCAGTGCCCAACAGGGTCCATAATAAACCTACTTTGAAATGTACCTGTCTATCTATCTTCTGTAAAATTATGGAATGCAAAGCTTAAATAAGAAAATAAAAAAAATATATATTCTTACAGATTGGGCATCCCCGGCCAGCCAGTTATACAGTTACCAAGCGACAAAGAAGATGAAGAGGACACAGGTACGAGATTCCGAAGGACAGGCTCCGAACGTCTCAGAGATGGCGCTAAAGCCTTTTTACGAAGGGTCGAATCTCTCAAAACTAGAAGAAGAAAGCGCCAGAACAGAACGGAAGTTATCATCGCGTCCCCTCACTTCCTAGATACACAGCAGGACAAATATCCCGATTTGAACTATATAGATATGACGCCTACCTCACCAACTGCATTTCCGTTTCCCGATTTCAATAGTTCACCTCTCCATGCTCCAGCTATCAGAACTCAGCCGCCGTCACCCATGACCATTTTGCCGCCATCTCCTATAGCTCCTTTGGAGCAATCCTTCGTGTTGAATCCTCCTTTTGGTGATGATAGTTCTAGTTACGCATCTGATGGTAGCATGGGATCTAGCAATAAAAGTACGAAGTCAAAACTTGGACGAGCGAAGAGAATATTCCATAGAGGAATGAAGAATGATGACTCTAGTGCGCTGAGCGACTCAGAATGTCAGCCGGCTAGTTGGAGGCATAATTATTATAAGGATCATAATATTCATCACAATACTGAGGTAATTTATCAATACATCTATATATATAAATAAAATTTGAGTGTCTGTTTGTAATATTGAAATAACCGTTTTTTACTACATGCATATGAATATAAATACGGTACATACACCAAAATCACATTTTTTGTCTATCTGTTTGTCTTTTTCTTCTGGCTAATCTTTGAAATGGCCGGACCCATTATGACGGGACTTTTATTGACAGGTAGCTGATATAATAAGGAGTAACTTAGGCTTCTTTTGTTTTAGAAAAATAAAGTTAAATTCGAGGCGGACAAAGTCGCGATAACAGCTAGTCACAAATATATTTACTAAGTAGCTAACTATGCAAGCTTCCAAAACTTTGTGGATACATTTGTTAACAATATTATGATATCCATTATAGACTAAGATGTCAATCAGCAATTAACTCTATGACCCTTTCTTTGGACTGTAGAAAAAAGGCGATCTACCTTATAATTGTCTCTTTTTAAGTTTGGCTATATAGTTATACATACAATAATATTTCTTATGAGACAGATTATAGATATTATTGAGAATAGGCGGGGAAAAATGTTAAAACTATTTTAGGGAGCCAAATGACCCGGCCCACCACGCCGCCACAAGTCTGGACATTTTAGTGAGCATGACTACTCAAAACACTAGACCACGTCATAGCTACTTACAATTGCCATCTGATAGTTATATTATGCACTCAGAATAAAGCAAGATGTTTACCTACAGACTCAGAAGTTTCAATTAAAAATTAAAATAGTAAATACAGATTTGTTGTACATAACTTCCAGGTGTACGTCGAACCTCCATCGCCTGTGGAACTGAAACCAGATCCAGAGGTATTACGCGAGGTCCAGAAATCACCAGGTCACACGATGCACAGGCGGCAGGCCATCAGAACCAGCTCGCTCAACCTAGGGAAAGACGGACAAAAGTTAGTATTCGGTTTTTTTATCAGATGTGTATCCAACTTTAGGAGGTTTTTATCTAGGAAAACTTTATACATTTTAGCTGGAATTGTATAAAATATTTGTTTCGGAGAATATACTTAATATAATTTTAATTATCATAAATAAGAATAAAATAATAAATAAATAAATAATAATCTATACGTATAAATAAAATTGAAGTGTCTGTTTGTAATATTGAAATAACCGTTTCTTATTACATCCATATGAATGTATATACGGTACATATATCAAAATAACATTTTTTATCATTTTCGTCTGTCTGTTTGTTCCGGCTAATCTCTGAAATGGCTGGGCCGATTTTGACGGGTGTTCTTTTGGCATGTAGCTGATGTAATAAGGAGTAACTTAGGCTACTTTTATTTTAGAAAAATAAAGTTAAATTACACGCGGACGAAGTCCCGGGTACAGCTACTTATGTGATATAATCCAATTTAATATTAAATGTACTATAATGAACAAGTTAGTATCTCTATTACGTATAATCCTATTTAAGTAAATTTTCTCAAAGCAATAAACTAAGTATTGTACATTCAGCAAAGTTAATACGAAAGTATTTCTTGCTAAGTAATTAGGACTACGAGAGATTTATTAGCATCAATTAGCAATCCAGTATTATTAGCATAGTACTAGTAATATAGGGTCAATTTACTCCATACTGAATGAGTGAAGTAAACAGTTCAACAGGATTCACATTTTAAAGATTCAGAATATTCTAGAAAACCATCGTGTAAGCACAAAACTATATATACATTGTTTATTCCACTCAATTTTCTTATACCACAATGGTATGGCAATGAAGCCACTCGAATGGCAGCCTCGGAACGGTTATGAAAACATTACATCTGATGGTCGCGTTATCGATTCCACACGGCACAAATATTTGTATTAATGAGTATAATCGTTTGTATACAATGATACAAGTAATTTGAGACAATGTAAGCAAAGATGGACTTAACTCTAAATGAGATATCTTCCAGACATATAGTCAACATAAGGTTGTGTTTCACATTATTATTCGTTTTATAAAACCTAATAAGTTTCTCCGAAATTATAAGATAAACTTCTTAGCAGTTCATGGATTCACCGTGCGGGTCATCGTGAGAGGAAAACTTCGAGCAGTTCCCGGGACTTGTGACTCGGGTGTAGATTTAAAATGCCCATTGCCGATTTATACGTCAACACTCACTCTCACTGTTTCTCTTCCTGCCCAGTCTTTATCATCATCTACATATCACTATAGATAGACATAGATATATCACATAGATAGAGATCTAGAAAAAATCTTTCCCAGAATCAGTGGAGATTTTTACTATACCTTTTCATCATCATTATCATCTGCTTCTTCCTTATCCCATTTATTTGTGGTCGGCGTAATATGTTTGTCGCTTCCATTCATCCCTGTTCGCAGTCATCGCGTTATTTACTTCCTTTCTTACCATATCATCTTTCACACAGTCCATCCATCTCTTTTTCGGCCTTCCTCTGCCCTTATAACCATCCACATTCATATGTAACACCATTCTTAAAATATTATCCTCGTTCCTACGCATTACATGCCCATACCATGATAGACGATTACTCTTCAACCTCTCTGACACCGGCGCCACTTTCATACTTCCTCTAATGTATTCATTCTTTATCTTATCCTTTACTATACCTTTTCAATGCATAATTTTAATTGCATGTATAAAAAATTTTATATGTTTAAAATTCATTTATAGATATTTTTGTATATTTATGAATACATATATTATGGAAATTTACAGCTAAAAATTGTCAGTATTCCACTGTAGCAAAAATGCCAAGCACGTACATTCAATGTTACGTATCCTTAACACAGGTTTCGGGACAGAAGTCTTAAAAGGGATAAATCAGCATCCAGAAGTTCCGACCTGAATAGCAGCCCGAACTCGGCCGGATCGCGGTCCCATGATGGTGATCAGGATGATGATGATGACAGCATCGACATGAAAACTAAGAAGTGAGTAATAACATCTAATTCTGTCGCCAATTATGCTCCCGTTTGATGGTTGAGATTCGGTAGTGTAAGTATTTCATTTAAATCATTAGAAACTCTTCTATTATTGCCTAAAGGTTGTATCCAACATATTTATCTTTCATTATATGAAATATATAATTATTGATTATCACAACCTAATTTACTCATCTTCTCTAATATATAAAATTCTCTTATCACAGTGTTTGTATCAAACCCCTCCGCAACGGCTTGACCGATTCTTATTAAATTTGTGTGTATATTCAGTAGGTCTGAGAATAGAACGTAAACTATTCTCGAATCCCTTAACTCATAAGGGTGGTACCCCACAATTTTTTTTATTTTTTTTATGATTCGTCATTAAATATGTATACAACTGTAAATTGTCACCATTCTACCAAATATTAAATAAAAAGGGTGCCACCTCAATTTTTTTTTATTTTGTCAATTTTTTTATGCTTCGTCATTAAAAATAGATATTTTTACCCTTCTACCATCAACCACAATCTTCTAATAGCGATCTTAGTACTTTAATAATTTTTGATAACTGATTTCAGTTATACGGCAAAAATATTTTTTCGGGTCAGCTTGAACTGTTATATTATTCTCACCTTGTATATTTCATTTACCATATTTCTAAGATGCTGCTGAATAGATTTTAAGTTTAAAGCACTAATCATTAAAAGAGATCAGTATGATGACGATATGATGATGCTTCAGTATTGTCACAAATATTTTATACTTGAATATATCATAAAAAAATTGTTTCAGAAACAACGTACAAAGATGGTACTCGTTCCGGACAAGTGCACTCAACGGCGGTCCCAAAGCCAATAACACCCTCCAACCAGTACCCAACCAAAAGGACCCCGAGACTTACAGTAAGTGGTCATGCGTTTGAATCCGCACCCTTCACTTCAAAATGTGTTTTTATTGGTACAAGTATGTTTATAGTATGTGAGTATGGAACGATAGAAGTATTGTAGAGATTTAGGTTAATTTTGACTTGGTTTGATTGTTGGCTATCCAAATAGGCAAGAATTTTGGGCTTTTCCCAAATATCCAGTATATTTGGGAACATTCTTGGATATTATAAAAGAGGCATCTTAAATATTGTAAATAATAAAATGTGGAAGGATAAAAGAATTGTGGAGAAATACGTTATTATTGGCAAATTTGCTATCCAAATAATTAAGAATTTTTAGGTCCAGTATATTTGGAAAAAGCGACCCCCCTCGGCATCGTAAATATGCCATTTTTGTAAGGATCTCTATATATTTTGGAAATTCAATTCATATGTTATTTGTTGATCATGTATCCTATCTATATATCTATAAATTGAATAAATTTAAAAGTCGCTTAAACATTTGTCTAATTTGCTGGTATAAGTAATTTGTAGTCAAGTCTTTTGAAGTCTATTCGCTCTCTACTTACTCCGTAAAGGGTCTGGTCTGAATTTAATTTTTTATTGCAGGGTTTAGGCTATTACTCAGTGCTTTAGAGCTGTAACACTGCGACCTGCAGAGATCTATTGTGCTCACCCTTCTTTTTAGAATTCATAGCCTAAACCCATCGAGGACTAGAATTAAAAGATGTTCTTAGGAGCGATGGTTTTTATCTCCTGAACTTATCATCATTTTACTCAAGAAAAAATATTATAAATTATAGATATATTATTAAACTATTTACTACAATGTAGTGTCGAGACCCATGTCATCATTGTCATGTGGACAACTGCACATCCTGAGGAAGCTGGCTCTTCTTCGACTGACTGCGTGTATGGAAAGGTACTGCCCTTCACACAAGTCAGGTTGGAACTGGGAACTGCCGAAACTCATCAGGAAGATCAAAACTCCAGATTACAAAGGTAAAAACAAAGTGAAACTTTATTCATTTGTTCAGATTATTCAGAATTTTATAAAGTTAAAAGACTTATAGAAAAAAAATATTACGATTCCCTTTTTTGATAATTGCAATTGCAATTGATAATTGGCCAACAAGCTGAGATAATCCTCAGGTAATATAACAAAATATACTCTTGTATACTGTCTTCAGTAGACAATCTAAGAAAATATAAATAAAGTTTAAGTACATGTCATGAAAAATTGAGCACAAAATGATAGTACTGACCAAAACTTATAAGAGCAATACTTCTAAGATTACTCTTTAAGCGTCAACATTGAAATTAAAATGCCATGAGTGAAAGGACCAATCAAAATTTATAAGAGCAACTCTGCTAAGATAAATCTTTAGGAGATTATTATCTCCTAAAGATTTATCTTAGCAGAGTTAATACTGGAAATCAAATTAAACAAATTGGAGTTACAAAAACCAGAATAACTTACGAATCTAAATAAAATATTGTTTCCAGATAAGACAGTGTTTGGAGTTCCACTGACTGTGTCACTACAAAGGACGGGCCATGCGTTACCAAAGCCAATACAGAGTGCGTTGAAATGGTTGAAAATCAATGCTTTAGATCAGGTGAGATGTTTCTTCTTTTTGATCGTGCCCTCACTGTTGAGGATCGCGACTCTAAACAATCTTGTCGACCAGCTGTCGCCATCAGTAGTCAGACTGGTGTAGTAAATATCTAAGAACTATTCTAATTAAGTTCAATTATTAGAAAATAAAATAATGTAGTCTCTGGAATAACTTCTTCTAGTTTCTGGAACGACTTCTGGTTGTGTATTTAATATATTCTCTCTAATAAATTAATGCCAGTAGTTTGTTCAACTACCGTCATTAGATTGTCCAATAAAATTTTGCGATAATTTTCGTCGTGCTAAAACCCGTTTAACTATATTAATCATTGAAATATTGTTTTTTCCAGATGGGCATATTTAGAAAAGCCGGCGTCAAATCCCGTATAGCGAAATTACGGCAGACAGTGGAAGCTGCTGGTGCTGCGAACGCGCCATTTGCAATAGAAAACATAAATACAATTGATCCTAACCAGTCGAACCTCAACTTCGACGGGTCTCAAGCTCACGACGTGGCTGACATGGTCAAGCAGTACTTCAGAGAGTTGCCTGATGCGCTCCTCACTAATAAGCTGAGCGAGACCTTCATCGCTATTTTCCAACGTAAGTTTTGTGTTTCTACAATATTCTTCCTACTACTTGAATTTTAGCTTCTTCTGTATGATTATTTACTTTGCTGATAGTAATTATTACTTTGTTAAATTTTGTTGCTTTGTTTGTTGTTCAATAATTAATTAATGGTTTATAGTTTAACGGTTTTAGTTCACCGCCTTCTTACCTATGGTCACGGATTCGGTTCCTTATACCGACACGACTATGTAATGATTATTTTATTTTATTTTATTTTATTCATGTCCGTCATACTCGTGACTACCCTTCACAGCTTCCTTGCATGTTGGGATTTCTCTGTTCAGGTTCGGGGTCGGTTCTCTGCTGATTAGATACATTTTCCCTATTTAAATTTTAAAAACATACTGTAATTTTCTGATCATGTACAAGTTTATTTGAAAACAATAAGAGCTAAGTTTTTTATTATTTCTTCTTAGCTCGAAAGCACTCCGAACTGACGGTAGATATCATAAGAGTCTGTAATAGACATAAGGTCTTATGTTTTAATTTAGTTTATATTGTATAAATAAATGAATAAATATTGGTTTCAGATGTCCCTGAGCCATTAAGGCCGGATGCAGTACAATGCGCTTTGTTACTGTTGCCTGAAGAACATTTGGAGGCTTTGCATTCCTTATTAATATTTCTGGCTGATGTAAGTATTGTTGGGTAAATGAGATCGCATTCAATTTATTCAAATGTCACTATTTTTTTTAATGGATGTTAATGGTATGTTGCACTCGCCTGCGCTAACGGTTTACGCTAGCGGGGCACCAGTTAAGGATGATAAGATGAGCATGAAATCAGGTCAGCCCATCTTGGCAAATGACAATTTACCACGATGATTACCAGGGGAACCGCGTGAAGGTCAACCTGACGACAATGGGATTATTAGTCCACATTACTGACAATCAAAGGGGAATCCCACAGCAGAAATAAGTAAATTTACTGTTACACAGTATATTTATGGTATGGTAACAGTGGTAGACGTCGTTGAGTGTGGTAAAAGCGGTGGTGTTTGGGCAGGTGGCGGAGCAGTCGGGCGTGAACCAGATGACGGCTTCGAACCTGGCGGTGTGCCTGGCGCCGAGCCTGCTGCGGCTGCACCACGCGCCGCCCGCCGGCAGCACCAAGGAAGGACACTCCAACAGGTGACGACCATACAGATACACATCCTCACCGTTGCTGAATACGTTTACCAAAATATCATGTATGCCAGGAAAAATAGGCTACACCACCGAGACCGTCAATAATAATAATAATTGATAAAACAGTATCTAATATATAAAATTCTCGTATCACCGGTTTCGTATTTATACTCCTCCGAAACGGCTTGACCGATTTTGGTGAAATTTTATACATATATTCAGTAGGTCTGAGTATATATTTATAACATATTTTTATATCCCTAAGTGTTAGGGGTAGCTCACCCCAATTTTTTTTTGTCATTTTTTTTATTTTTATCTTTTGTAATGTGGCATTAAAAAATACATACATCCCTAAATTTTTACCCTTCTATTTTTAATAGCGATAATTTATATGGCAAAACGACGTTTGCGGGATCAACTAATATTAAAACGCGCACTCCATACACTATACTCATGAATTAAATGTTTGGACCCTGCTAGGAATCGAACCCACGACCTTCGGAAGAAACCACCAAACCTCTGAGGCCATCGAATATTAATGATTTTAACGCAACGATTTTGCAGAATGGTGATAGAAAGTGTTGCTGATCAGCGTCAGATAAGCGAGAGTCGAGCGGCCCACGCTTGCCTCTTGCTTCTCATACAGAAGTACAAGCAGTTGTTCCTAGCTCCCGCTGATATGCTGGCCAGGTGTAAATTCAATTACTTCGAAGAGAGTGTACCGGTAAGCCTACCTGTTTCTTATCTTTACTTTCTCTATCCACCCAAAGGTAGTCTGGAAGAGATTGCTTGCTCTAGCAATAAGACCAGCTTTTCGATATCGTTTAATGTAAATTTAAACGACTAAGTGGTTTCTAAGGACTGTATATGTTTTATATTTTATTTTTAGTTTGAAGAGAAACTACAGTCGCTGATAGTAAAAGACATATATTTCAAAAGTGACAAATAATAGAACAATAGAAAATGGATTTTAAATATATATAAAAAATACAATAAAAATCTAAGAAGGTGCGTCGTGCACAGTAAACTTAGTATTTTATTTTTTTGTACGCTTTTTGATGCAATATAGAGTATAAATAAAATAAAAATATACGGGGTCAAAGACTATACCTATTGTTTTTATTTATATCCTGGACAATGAACACTGCGCCATCTAGTCCAATAAACAAAGCTTGTGTTATGGTTACTAGATAACTGATATAAATACTTAGATTTTTTTGTAAATACATACATAATTGCTTGTTTCAGTCTGAATATTTTCTATCGTAGAAAATATACAGACTGAAACAAACAGTCATACTCATGAATACAAATGTTTCCGTACGAGGTATCGAACTTGCGACTATCGGAAGTAGAGCGGTGTGCTAAACCTCTAGACCACTGAGGCCGTCAATAATAACAATAATTGATAGAAAGCAATATAGATCATAAGTATAACGGTTTAATTATACTAAAATGGTGGGTGGAATTTATCAAAATCCTTTCTTAGGGGATGCCTACGTCATAGTAGCTTTATGCATGCAAACTCTCAGCCCGATCGATTTAAAATTGACAAAGTTTCATACAAACTTTCATCCCCTATTTTATCTCTTTGGTGGTAGAATTAATCAAAATCCTTTCTTAGCGGATGCCTACGTTATATCATCTATCTGCATGCCAAATTTCAGCCCGATCTGTTCAGTGGTTTGGGCTGTGCGTTGATAGATCACTACGTCAGTCACCTTTGAGTTATATATATTTAGATGACAGCAATAGAAATACAAATAAGTAGAAATATAAATAATATTTTATTTAGAAATACAAAAAACAATTTCATTTTAGGTGGCGCTGGAAGAATTGGGCGGAGATTTCAATCAAGACTGGAAAGGATTCCAGCAGGCTTGCATCAAAGCTTTACTCAAAGAAGCCAAAGAAAAGTGAGTTCACTACATTGTTAATGTAAAAATTCCAGAAGCTACCTAATTTTCTTTTAATGTCAAACAACTGCGCCTATATAGACCATTTTATAGACTGTGGTTCTCCTTTTAGTGATACTATTTTTTGTCTATGACATCTACAGGAATATGTGAGAGTTGACGCCACAATTTCTATCACCTACCTAATGCATTATTATAGTCTGTTTTCTAATCTAAAAAGAAACTCAAAGAATCTGTGGAGACTCAATTGACAGGTGTAAATGTCAAATTTACAAATAACGTTACCAGCTGCGGGGTAGTGCTGTACCTGCGATACCGATTCGTTGACTTGCATTTTTAATTTTAAATGAGTAGTTACGTATGTAAATTTTGAAAATATATTGTGTAACCAATGTTGGTTACACAATATATTTTCAAAATTTACATACGTACATTAGTGTTACTGTCTTTGTATTATATTAAACAACATGAAAATACATTTTTGAAGTTTTCGTACATATACAATTTTTTAAGTTATTAAGCTAAATACCAACATTTTTCTTTTATACAGTTATATTTAAAATAGGTGTATATTTAAAATACGAAAGTAATTGGTTTTATAAAAAAGAGCATTTCGTCTTTGTTTCAGTGAAATATATGACAATAAAATAACCTATTTTTATACAACAACCCAATATTTATTAATACCTATACTTTATCAATTTTGTGTTAAATAAACACCCTCATATTATTTGAGTGTAACCGATAAAAATCGGTAATTAATATTAATTTCCGATTGTGTCACAACGCTATTCAAGAATCTCAAAATGCTGGCAACATTGGTCATGTCAAATTAGTCTCTGAGATAAAAAACAGACTATAAATTCTGACAGCTATCCCAACATTCACCATTACTCTGTAACGTCTGTCACGATCGCAATATGTCCGTCTCTCACATGTTACTCTTATACCTACACTTGTGTATAGATTCTAACTTTTTTCATGCTTTTTTAGAGTCTGTGGCCGATCGGGAAAGAGGTGAGACATCGATGTTAGAGCGTGTCCCACTTAACCTTATATCATCGATGTAGATTTCACAGTTCTGTTTCTACTGTGTTTAAAGCAAACTATTTCATCTGATCCTTCAGATCTTCAACATTAGTTTCACAAAAGCCTATATCATTACATAGTATAAAATAAAGACGCTATTGCAGTCTGTCCCTATGTATGCTTAAATCTTTAAAACTACGCAACGGATTTCGAAGCGGTTTTCTTTAGTACATAGAGTGATTCAAAAGGAAGGTTTATATATATAATACACGTACGTGCAAAGCCTGGGCGAGTAGCTAGTAAAGTATAAAATACAAGTCATGTTTTTATGCAATACATAATTATAGTTGTTTATTATGTGATTTATTTACATCTCCTTTATTTATTAGTCAAGGTACTTAAGACTTATTGACTCGGGAATACGTGTTATATTTAAATTGACAACAATCTTCATATCACCGTAATATTTGATATAAAGTACAATTTTGATTACTTATTGAATATATATTATTTTGTTTAATTACAAACCATTTGCATGCGTGAGATCACAAATACGGTGCGGAAACCTGACCATCGCTACTGGAAGTTACCACCTTCTCTGTTGGTGATCAAATTCCAACCGTTATTGGATCCACAGCTATATTGAGATACATATTTCGCGACTGGACTATGACTTCGCCGAATAGTTAACACTAAATTCAAATTGAAATTCAAAAATCATTTATTCATGTAGGACATTTTTGGCACTTATGACTGTAAATTTTTAACAACCGTCCAGTTCAATATACAGATCCAATTCAGAAGAACTGGCAAGAAAATCAATTGAATTACTATGCTTCCAAACTTTAGGATTGTTTAAAAGAGCAACACACAAGTTTCTTGCTTATTCTGTTTGTGATGAGAAAGCTTTCCGAATAAGCGGTAGATTTAAAAAAAAATTATTATTTGAATAAATGATTTTCTATTCTATTCTTTATTTATTGCCTAATTTTTCTCGTTTAGACGCGTGTAGTCTTAGTTTAACATTTAACATACTTTTCCTCTACTTATGGTTTGCTTTCAAATACTTCGTTTAAGATTTTTTTATCATCTCAGTAGAAAACAGAACTGTTTCTTTCTGAATCATTAACAGCAGATCAGTTTCTCACTCCATTCTCATCGTAGTGACGTCGTGGCCACTTAGGTGTTTTACTGATTTGTTTTTTTATGTTTGTACGATAATTTTTATTTACAAATTACAACAATGTTTAGCCAACATTAATATAATTGCATGTCAACGCACTTTTTAATCGCAATACAGCACTTTTAATATTATCGCTGACACTATTTCAAAATCCTTTTTATGTGTTCACTTTAAGAAAAAATTAAAAATTCTCTTAGATATTCAATTCTTGTCTATGGGCATAATTTTGTTTTAATACTTAGTTACTAGTGGCTGGCAAACGCAAATTTTCTCAGATACTGAATTTTTCTCTATGGTTATAATTTTCTTTAGTGTAGTGGCTGACAACGCAAACTATAACAAACTCTTATATTTATAAAATCTGTATTTCAGCAACGAATCAATTTTAATTAGTGTTTATTTACATTATTTCAAAACGAAAAATTTTGTTTGTTACAAAAAATTTTAAGACTTTAATAGCAAAAATATATCTGTAAGAAATTATATGTTTTTATTAACAAAAAGCGTATTCAACTAGGCGTTGATTACTTAATTATATATCCATAAATATTGACTTAAAAAAAATTTAGTATTTAATTAAATAATTTAATAGGTTTCTTTACTATAGTAGGCTTGTATAGAACATATTAAATTTCAATTCTTTATTATTTTCTAGAAGTAAGAAATAGGCATTTTATTTTCCTCTCCTCATTTAATGCTCAAATCAAACGAGCTACATCTAAGTCTTCACGTATTACAGTAACGATTCTAATACGATATGTGATAAGCTTCTGAGCTTTCATAATTCATACAGGCTTGAAGCTTTATCGGAATGTTAGAATAACCTGTCTGGTATACACTTTTTCTTTTTTAAAGTTACTTAATTCTAAAGATATATTTTCCAGAACACGTGGATGGATGTCGGTGTCAGGTGCTGCACCTCATGTGGAGTTGTGCTGCAAGAAAGTGGGTGATGGTCATCCTTTGAGATTGTGGAGGGCTACCACGGATGTGGAAGCACCACCGCAGGAGGTTATGCAAAGGTACGTCTAAGGGGCCATACATAAATGCGTCACATGTTAAAGTGGTAGAGAGTTGACAAATTCTGACAGGGACAAAGAGTAGGATTAAATGACTGGTCATCACCATCATCACCATCATCATCACTCCTCTAGGGAGGTGAAGGTTGTAGCCTCGGGGTGAACCCTTTTGCCCCGGCATCAACTCCGAGGGCAACAACCCCTGGGTTGGCTGGATTTAAGCCACTTAGAGCGAATAATAAAATCAAAATATCCTAAGTAATGAAGTATTACCATACTTAGGGACATTTTTTTGTTTTTTTGTTAGAGCGATAGGGTAGAATTAATCACGAACAAAAAACTCCGGCATTAGACGCTTTGTTGGGATATCTAGGAGTCTCATTTAGTTTTATGAAATCATGAGGGGACTCTCATTGGGGAACATAGGGTCTATTTCTACGTTATTGGACGTAATGTTAGGCCTAGGCCTGTGTACATATCATGACCCTGGTACAGCTTATGCATTACCATTTCGGAATTTTAATTCAAATTCCTATTATTAAAAAATTATTAAAATCGCATTATCTATCCCTGTAATAGAATAATAACACGTCCTCTCGTCCATTATTATGTAGTATATGTATGTTTATCTATAATTGTATAATAAATAGAGTGTTTAGTGCGCTTCCTACCTTCTCTCTTTATGTAAATACTCTCTGTTAGCACCGGGTTGTCTGTAAGAGATTGCTGATAGCGATAAGACCGCCTTTTGTAAAACATTTATTTTCATTGTTTTGTACTTACTGTCCTATGTTTATGTATTCGCAATAAAGAGTTTTTATTATTATTATTCTATAATTAAATTCTATACACAAAGCAAATATCATGCAAATCAATTTACGTTTCGTTTGCTTGAAAAGGTAACAACAAACATACATCCATTCTGATTTGTTTTCGCTTATAAAGTTGTAAGATATCTACATAATAACAATAACCTTGGACAATTAAGCGGCGTCATTTAGTCCCAAGCTAAGCAGAGCTTGTGTTATAGCTAGACAACTATAAATACATAAATATATTTGTAAATACATGCATAATATACATAGTATACAAAAAATCATAGTCATGAACATAAATGCTTGCATCATACTAGGTATCGAACTTGCGACTATAGGAAGCAAAGCGGTGTGTTAATCCACTAATCCACCGAGACCGTCAAAATTACATACATATAGAGTGTATGATTATTGAATGATTTTATTATAGGATACTCCGAGAGCGACATATATGGGATGACTCGTTGATAAAGTGGCGTATAACAGAGAAGCTGGGCACCAATGCTGAAGTGTTCCAGTACGTCACTGCCTCCAGTGTGGGCCTACCGCCGAGGGATTATTGCGTTTTAAGGTACCACTTACAAATTATTGCTAGAAATGCATGTAGATGATGTAGATGATGACGATCCATCATCGATCATCACCCATCCATGATCATCATCATCATCGTCAATGGTGATCTCTTTGTTTATCTTTCTAGTAAGATCTGTTAATAAGACCTGTCTTTAGGCTACTTTCATTGTAGACATTCATTTTAATATGATACGAACGAAGTCACGGTTAACAGCATACAATAATCAAGGCTGTGTGGTGTTGAGGTCGTGGCAGCAGGGCGGCGGCAGTGGGGGCGCGGGCGGGTGGTGCGCGGTAGCGGAGACCTCCGTGGCGGGGACCGCAGCGAGCGCCCCCGCAGCCTCCACCGGCGGCACCACCACCACCACCACCACCACCACCACCACCACCACCACCACCGCCGCCGCCACCACTCCGGAGCCGGCGCGCGGCGTGGTGCTGGCGTCGCGGTACCTGGCGCAGCCGGCCGGCAAGGGCCGCAGTCGACTCGTGCATCTCGCGCGCGTCGATACCATGTAAGCCGCATCATATCTGTAGTATCACCACCATCACCATCTCCTCTATCTCCACCACCATCACCACTACCGTCATCACCACCATTTAAAAAAAATAAATTGCCACCTACAACCACCTTCTACCAACGGTATTTGCGAACCATTTAAAAAAAAGAAACAAACTAAAAAATAAATTGCCACCTACAACCACCTTCTACCAACGGTATTACCGAACCGATACGATATTGAAAGATTTTTTTTTTATACTACTATGGTGGCAAACATGCATACGGCCCATCTGATGGTAAATGGTTACCTATGGACGCCTGAACCACCACGTGCGCGTTGCTGAACCTTAAGAAACCTTAATATACCCTTCTTAAAAACCTCATGCTGTAGTCTCGTGAGAAAACCTCTGCAGGAAGTTCATTCCACAATCTAAATGTACGCGGGAGGAAGCTCCTCTAAAACCGCACTGTCCGAGACCACTTAGGTTCCATCCAACGTGTGAGAATTAATTCCCTGTCGATGGACAAGTGGTTTCGGACAGTGCGGTTTTAGAGGAGCTTCCACCCGCGTACAGGAGAGCGGTGCGATGGTAAAAGGTAGCCGTAGGCATTATGTCGAACAATTCCTCAGAAAAGAGTCCGTAAATTCATACAAAAACTGATTCTTCTTAAAAGGCATGCAACGGTAAAGCAACGGTAATCGCTTACCATCAGATTTAAAGATTTTTTTAATCAGCGAGTGAAAGCATGTGTTATAACTAAACTAGTGTACTATAAAATACATATTACTCATTTCCAGGGGCCGCACACCTGAATGGTATAACAAGTGTTACGGCCACATCTGCGCTCTATACCTGGCCCGCATCCGAGCTTCGTTCAAGCACAACACAGAAGGACCTGAATCTAACGTATGATCTAAGCATTCCACTTAAGCAGAACCCTAAAGTCTCTGCTTAAGGTCTAATAAAAATTCAGGCGAAAATCCCGCTGAATATTACCTGAAAAGTTGAAACCTAGTTCTAACTTTTTCATAATTCAAACTTTATAGCTAGTAAGGAAATTATAAACATTTTCGCGTCGTTGATATTAAAAATTAGAAACGTTCATATAAAAAAATCGTTAATAAAATAATTACGACTGTACCGTACATTTGACAGTCTAACAATATATTATAAGATAAATCCAATTTTAAATCTCAAAATAGGGTATATGATGTTGTTATCGGCATAGATATTATATTCCAATATATTTAAAAGTTTGACCAAAATTCTGATGTTAATGTAAATAGTTAAGGTAGATATAATGAACGTGCATAATTACTAGATTATATGACAACCTACCTCCACATTTCATGGTTTATCCCATACAATTAGGGAGACATTAAAAATCGACATAATAGAAATAGTTTTGGTTACAAACTATCTATATTTTAAATATACATTTCTCCCGTGGTGCGTTGTGTATAAAATATTGACTAATATTTAAATGAAAAATATAATCTCATTGGATATATTTGTATGGAAATTGAATGAGTTTTACCATATCCTATGTATAGTTATCGACATATCACTAGTCATATTGTATAAATAACATTCAAGCACATAATAACCGTACCTGTCCTGTGTTCAGGAATATAGTATTAAATTCTTAATCGTATATATATTAAATGTGAACGCAAAGTGTGTGTAAAAGAGTTTTAAATATATATTAAAACCGATAACAATTTTTATGTTACTTATATTAATATTGTAAAAAGTCTGATTGTATATATAAATTAGGTGATCAGTCTGAATGACCATCACATTGTACTTAGCTAGTTATCGCGCCGTGGTAGTGTTTCATATGACATTATTACACTATATATAATAGCGACCCGTCCCGGTACATACGAATGTATTATAAGTATTTAAATTTCTCGGCTTGTTCTATATATAACACGCATGTATCTATATATATATATAACTCAAAGGTGACTGACATAGTGATCTATCAACGCACAGCCCAAACCACTGGACGAATCGGGCTGAAATTTGGCATGCAGGTAGATGTTATAACGTAGGCGTCCGTTAAGAAAGGATTTTGAATCCCAAGGGGATAAAATAGGGGATGAAAGTTTGTATGAAACTGTCAATTTTAAACCGATCAGGCTGAGACTTTGCATGCATAAAGTTACTATGACGTAGGCATCCCCTAAGAGAGATTTTGATAAATTCTACCCCTAAGGGGAGAAATTAACGCGAGCGAATCCGCGGGCAAAAGCTAGTCTATACATATAACTAAAATTGAAGTGTCTGTTTGTAATATAGAAATAACCGTTTTTTACTACATGCATATGAATACAAATACGGTACATACACCAAAATAACATTTGTTACCATTTTTGTCTGTCTGACAGATTAATTTTGGGAAACCACAACTTATATGTACTCTCTAAATTCCAAGTTTCAATATGAACATTTAATTTGGACTGAATGGACGACAATCGGTACCATCACCCTACATTTTAAACATATACAGTCACTCACATTAATAATTCAATTATAGAAAAAATATATATTGTTACAAATTTATAGTAATACTAGCTTTTGCCCGCGGCTTCGCTCGCGTTAATTTATCCCCTTAGGGGTGGAATTTATCAAAATCCTTTCTTCTTTCTTTCTACCTGCATGCCAAATTTCATCCCGATCCGTCCAGTGGTTTGGGCTGTGCGTTGATCACTATGTCGTTCACCTTTGAGTTATATATATTTAGATTATCAATAAAATATAATAACATACACTATTAAATAACTACCAAAATTGCATTTATTAATAATATATATCGTTACAAAATTGACATTCCCAATTTTTTTTTATTTACACTATTCGTAATAGTGTAAATTAAAAAAAAACTTATTTATTTATGGACAAGTTTCTCAAAAATTTTGGTATTAAAAACATATGTGTTTTCTATACAGTAATCTATATAATTGCTTTCCGAGTCGTAGTTAGAATTAAACTAAATAAATATTAACATTATTTAAGTTTATTGTATATATTTATGTAATATATTGTTACTCTTAGGTATATATATGTATATATATTGTATTTTTTTTTGTTCTCTTTATATTTTCATTACGTTCATCATATTTGCACCACCAACAATAATTCTCTGCACCACCTATGGTTGCCTGGTAGAAAATGCCGCATGGTGTTGACTCCGCCAAATGTACTGTACTATATATTGTATTGTGTGCATTAAAGTTAAATAAATAAATAATTTTCTATTTATTTATTTATATATTTGAGCGACCAACACATACACTATGAGGTTACACTTATTATCACTTGCAATAAGTTCAGGTATATAGTGTTGACTTAATTACTGGTTGTCATGGCATGCGTAAATCTTTACAGAAGTTTATATATATATATATATTTCAAATAACTTAACATTAATATTCTATATGTCAAATAACGTTATATGAAACAAATACACGGCAAATTATTATATTTCCAAACAAAGGAAATAAAGATTTAAAACCAAAAAATCACAAATGAAGATATTCTTTGTAAATAGTTTTTATTATTAAATCTTATTAATTAATTAATATTGCAATCTCGATTAAGTATGTATTAGTTACCTAAAATATCACAAGTTTTGGTGCAGACTAGATAATGTTAGTTTTAGAGTTCAGAACTTACAAACACAGATATATAGCTCACTTGTATTTATTTATTGTTTCCTCTATGAGAGCTCGTTACGATATCTAAAAAAAATTTTATTACAAAATAAATATTGCGACCTCAATAGTCTAGCGGTTTAGCACAACACCTTATTTAGATGGTCGTGGGTTCGATGTTCGCATGTTGCTAACATACTTTTTCTTATTATTCATTAATATCTATACACATAAGGTCGGTGACCTTGTTCATTCATTATTTATTATTAAGAGGGTATTCATTCTACATGAAAATTATTTTGAATTTGAATTTAAATAATTTTTCATTTGAATGAGCTATCATAGAGAAACTAATAATATAAATATGAATAAAAAAACATGACAATATCGTGCTATTGCTATATTTTAGTTATGTTGAAACAGATGTTTATATCATTTCTCAGAATAAAAGAAACTGCAAAAAATGATTGTACTTTATCATTATTGTATAGACTATTAATCATTAACACATTCATAATATTTGTTAATATTATTACATTTATCAACAACTATATTCCACATCATCATCATCATCATCGCAGCCAGGAAGACGTCCACTGCTGGACATAGGCCTCCCCCAAAGACCTCCACGACTACCGGTCCTGCGCTGCTCGCATCCAATGCATTCCTGCGATCTTGACCAGATCGTCGGTCCACCTTGCTGGAGGTCCGCGGTCGCCACTCAAGGACTTTACTGCCCCAACGACCATGTGTCCTACGAGCTATGTGCCCTGCCCATTGCCACTGCAGTGTCGCAATTCTTCGGTCACTCTGGTTCTTCTGCGGATCTCCTCACTTCTTCGATTACGCAGAGTAACTCCGAGCATAGCCCTCTCCATTGCCCTCTAAGTGACTCTGAGTGAGTTCCACAACATTCCTAATATTGCATTTGTTTCAATTGATACATAGTTGCAGAGTATTATTACGCAACTTTGTTGCTAACAATTTTTATTAATCTGTTTTAGTTTGAACTATCAGATACAACAGTGAAATCACAGTTACTTAGTCCACAGGAATAGCAACGCTAAGTATTCTAGATTAAAAGTCTTCTTTTGCAAATCTTGATCGACTATCATAGACAATTATTATCAATAGTCTAAATAAAGATTCTTTAAACGCCATTTCTTCTTCCTTATCCCATTTATTTGTGATCGTCGCAATATGTTTTTCTCTTCCATTCATCACTGTTCGCAGTCATCTCGTTTTTTACTCCCTTTCTTACCATATCTTTCATACAGTCCATCCATCTTTTTTTGGCCTTCCTCTGCCCTTATAACCATCCACATTCATATGTAACACCATCCTTAAAATATTATAGTAAACCACCCTTATAAACTACCTCTTACCTTTTTAATTTCAAAAATGATTTATCAGTTTTATATCTCAATACTTGAGGAATGTTTTAGTAAATTTCACATCACGCTATAAACTCTCAAAATACACGGATAATGCATATGTCATTAAATTGGTCGGAAAACAAGGTCAGTTTATATTAAACTGCGTACTGCTATATATGTAGTTATTTACCTACATTATTAAATGTTGAACAAATTGAAAGAAGCGATTTTAGTAGTTAAATGAATTAATAAAATATAGAAATATTAAAATGTTATATTAAAATTTCTAAATGATATTTACTGAACCCATATTGAAGATTTATAGCTGCAATCTCAGGGGCGGATCTATCTACGGGCTTTATGGGCCGCATTCCAAGGCCCCGTGGATATAAAGGGCCCCCAGTCCCCACTGAAAGTAATAGGCGATATTTAGATTAAAACATCTATGTAATTAAAAAACTTATCATAAGGTTGACAACCATGAGATTGATCAACCCATGGATGTGCGCGTTATCGAAAGGAACGGGGAATTTCTGGTCGCTTGTTTTTGATCGGTGTATTTTTCTAGTTGAGTTATAATTAGGTAGGCCCCAAGTTTTAGCCCAGGGCCCCACAAATTCACGATCCGCCCCTGTGCAGTCTCATTACACTGTTGCATATCATACAATAAAGTACAATGTCAACAACGTGAGGTCATATGGGCATTATAATTATAATAAATCTATATACTTATTATATATTATTTATGAAAAGTTAATTAATTAATTAATTAAATCATTCCGATGAACTAACCAAATAATATTGCAAATCTTATTTATTAGTGCAGTATTCTGAACTTCGTGTATAGATGGCGTTGTTTGTGAAATTGTCGATTGAATTATATTAAACACATGTGTGTATGGAAGTTGTATGTATCCTGGTATCAAATAGAAGGTAATATCTCTGTTAATACTCCACGTACTTGTAAAGTAACACTTATTGTGATTTATTCTTTATGAAAATATATGGACCATTATATTTAATGATGAAGTTTTATTTTGTAACCTTGTACCATATCATTAATTAAAAAAAAAAATTCTTGAAAGATATTAGAATGGTGTATCTATCTGTGCTAACGGTTGACGCTGGCAGGGCACCAGTGGAAGATGATAAGATGAAAATGTGGTCAGCTCAGTTAGCCCATCATGACAAATTCACCTGGAATTTATCAGGATGTTTTCAAGAAGGAGCTATAAAAAAATCCTCACCCCCAATACTCCCCCATTGGGGGTGAGGGATCCCCAGTGGAGGATGATAAGATGAAAAAGTCGGGTCAGTTAGCCCATCGTGACAAATTGACCAGGAATTTATCAGGATGTTTTCAAGAAGGAACTATAAAAAAATCCTCACCCCCAATACTCCCCCATTGGGGGTGAGGGATCCCCAGTGGAGGATGATAAGATGAAAAAGTCGGGTCAGTTAGCCCATCGTGACAAATTGACAAGGAATTTATCAGGATGTTTTCAAGAAGGAACTATAAAAAAATCCTCACCCCTAATATCCCCTCATTGGGAGTGTGGGATCCCTAATGGAGGATAAGATGAAAAAGTCGGGTCAGTTAGCCCATCGTGACAAATTGACCAGGAATTTATCAGGCTGTTTTCAAGAAGGAACTATAAAAAAAATCCCCACCCCCAATACCCCCCTCCCCTTGGGGGTGAGGGATCCCCTTGAGGAGGATGATAAGATGAAAATGTCAGGTCAGTTAGCCTATCATGACAATTCACCACGAATATGTCATGTTTTCAAGGAGACACTATTAAAAAACTCTCCACCCCCTAATACACCCCATTGGGGGTGAGGGCACCATCC